AAGTTAAAGGGATTGCCTCCAGAGAGAACACTGAGGGAATAATATTATTTAAATATCACATTTCCTTAAATACTCTTACCAAAATCCCTGAATAGTTCATAATGATAATAGCATATTTTTCCACTAATTCTTATAAAACACAGAAAAATTCATGTTTTGATAAATATTGCATGAGCAAGCACATACAGTATGTATGCAGTACACTGTAAAGCTGCATTGTATGTCTCTTAGAGTTGGTTTAACATTAATTATGCAATACTAAGATGTGTTGATTTATTTTTCTTGATTCACATTGAACACACATGCAGTGATAGTTTTCCAAAAGATTGTGTTAATGCATCTGATAAATGTTCTTGACCTACAGGTCTAGTATTTACTTTATAAGCTGAAAGTTTCAGTAAAGTGTACCTGTGTTGTGCACAAACCCAGCAATTGTGGAGGGACTGTTTTATAATTGCAATAATTAAATTTTTGCTTCTTTTGCAGTGGAGCCATCCTTCAACTCAATCACTTGTCTACACAGTCTGTGATATTAGTAACAAAAATGCTGAAGCAGAGAACTGGTTACGTACAGAATTTATTAACATCAAGAATGCTAAACGACTTGATATTGAAGTGAGCTATAGCCTCCGTAACTGCCCCAAAAATGTGGGAGACTTCTGCAGAACAAACTTCTCTCTTTATTCTTTTCATACCGATGACAAATTTGATCCTGTTCCAAAGCCAACAAAAAACAATTTTGTCAAAGAAGCTGTTATAACTCCAAAAACTCTTCCTTCTGCTGATAAGCTCACAACAGACACATTTCATGGGTCAGTGGTAACTAAAGCAAAGGGAATTTATCTGGCATTACTAGACCAAGGAACCTGCTTGACAATAAAGAAGTTTGTCGTGAGATATCGTTACTGTACTGAAAGAGGTGCTATTTTGGTTAAATTTTCAAGAACAGTTGCTCCAGCAAATGATACTAATTTGACTAAACAAGAAGGAGCATGTACAGATCCTAACTCACATCAAAGTAGCAATGGAAAGTTATTTGGTGTGTGCCTTAGTAATGGAGAATGGAACATTACCAGTAACTCAGCCTGCTTTTGCAACTCTGGTTATGAACTCACCAATGGATCTTCAGACACTTTGGAATGCAAAGGTTTGTGTTGTTGGTAACTCTGGGGCTTGCCCTTTTAGAGTGTTTCATCATTCAAACGGGTGTATGCATTTACTGTATGTATAGTTAAAAATGTGCTCACACCCTGTTTGTTCATCATTTGATAGAAACGCTTATGAAAAGTTTGATGCATCTTTAGTTAACATGGACTGTCTAGCTATGCTTCACATGCCATGTTAATCCCATCTGGAGACAACAACAGTCATTGTTGTTGTACAGTGAAAGACTTAGTGGTATAGTTTGGGCCGGTCTACATTATTAATGTAAGGGAGGTCCTCTAAAGGGCTGTTGTAAGTGACAGTGAAAAAAAAGGAACAAATGAATAAAATTAAAAGAAACTGTGAGGAATGAGGTCATCCAGGTGACTAAGATGTTAATGATGACTTGTGATAGGATTATCAAATTGTCAGCTAGTTTCTTTCCCTGTATAAGTTAAGCTTTCTCACTTGGACAACTATGTTACAGGGTCATTGTATTAATGTGTTGTGAAGAAAAAGCATGTTGACAAAATTGTTCATCCTTTCATTTTAGAGTGTCAGATTGGCTTTTACAAGAATGATGATAGTAATACAAGATGTCTACCTTGTCCTGCAAAGTCAGCATCTAATAATGGCAGAACTGGTTGCACCTGTCATGAAGGTTACTACAGGTCATCTAATGTGGCAGATTGTGAAGGTTATATTAATTGTTTCTGTAATTGTTATTGATTAATAAAAGTTCTAAATAAAATTTGCTGAGACAGGATAATTTCAAAGTTGTCCTATTGAATTTAAAATTGCATATAAAGGAAGTAAAGGCTCTCCAGTGTCAAACTTTATTTTATGGGGAAAGTATTGATCATGTTATGTTGACTAGGACAATTTAGATAATAAAGCCTTATGATAGCAACATGTAAAGGTAGTGGTGGTTGGGTGGGGGAGGCACAGAATGCAGAGAAAAATGTGGCTGTCTCAAAATTGATAATTTATAAAAAAGGTAAATGTTAAAATAACCTACCATGCCCTTAAATGTTGGCAACATACAGCTATTGACCCTGTTAGAAAATTCTGCCTATGAATCTGGTAGGAGTTTTTCAGTATAAAGCATTAGTCTTTCAGCTAGCTTCCATTTCCTTATCATGTTCATACACAGTGTTGTTTTGGCGGAGAATTGAGCCGTACAATGGTATTAAATATATATGAACAAGTACTCATAGACAATAATATTAACATATTTTGTATGCTTGTAGAGTTGCCAAAAGCCCCACTCACAGCCAATGTTACTGTTGTCAAGGCAACAGTTGTTGAGATCAGTTGGCAGCGCTCACCAGATGATTTAGAGGATGGTGCATTAATGTATGCTGTTGACTGCTTTAGATGCACATCACGTGAAGACAAGAACTGTAAAGAGCAGTGTGACGTGGAAATACAATATTCACCAAGTAAAGAAAACATTAGTGGTGTCAAGGTGGCTATAAACGGTTTACCACCATCCAGTTACTTTCTGTTTCGAGTTTACTCAGTGAATGAGTTGAATCAACAAGAGCAAAACACAGATAATTGGAACTTTGCTAAAGTTTTTGTCAAAACAAAAGGTATCACACTCAAGTTTAATTCTTACTTGTGTTTATTCATCTACTTGTAAACTGCAGCGTTACTGAAACTATGTTGTAGAGGTTAAGCTTGTGAAACTGGTTGCAGAATGATGTCAAATTACTAGAGCTGCAGCATTAAACTGTCATTCGAGTCAGTTTATTTCCATAACTTTAGGATGCACAGTTGAGCATAGGAGTTTTATGAGCTGTTAGAGATAAGAGAATTCTCGGCAATGAGATATGCATGATCTACAGTGTAACGTATGCTAAGGCAAAGGTGCAGAAAAATGAGACAAACAAAATCCAACAGAACAAAAACTTTCAAAAGCTAGTTGTCCAAATTAAGGCATTGTGGAAACAGCAAGTGTACAGTCATGTACATACATACATACATACCTACCTACCTACCTACCTACCTACCTACCTACCTACCTACCTACCTACCTACCTACCTACCTACCTACCGACCGATCTACCTACCTACCGACCGACCGACCGACCGACCGACCAACTGACCACCTACCTACCTACCAACCGATCTACCTACCTACTTACCGACCTACTTACCTACCTTCCGATGTACCTACTTATCACCGACTGACCGACCGACCGACCGACCGACCGACCGACTGATTGACCGACCGACCGACCGACCTACTTACCGACCGAACTACTCGCCTACTTACCTACCTACCGACCGAGCGACTGGGCGAGCGAGCGACTGACCGACCTACCTACCTACCTACATGCAGGTAATAGCTGACTTGCATTTACAGGTGCTCGCTGAGAAGGGTCGCCATTTCATTCGTGAAGAGAATGTCATTCTGCTTTCCACTCCAAGCACTGGCAAAGAAGTAAAACCAGAATTTAGGTAAATGGAATTAGATCTGAATCAAATCATGAGAAGCAATTATTGAATAGNGCTTAGTGTGGAAAAAGGGCAACATACTCATTTACTGAGATTTGCAATTTCTTCATTTCAATAATTCCCTTTTTTCTCTTTTTTCTTTATTAGTGTCAACAATTCATCCAACTGAAGGGGAAACAGGTAACAAAAACTTATTGCGTAATTTCTAATTTCAGAAAATTTCTCTGCAACTCAGAATGATTTGATATTTTTGTAGACTTGCTAGCCTACATGTATACATGCAGTATCAAAATCAGAACAGGTAAGCTTCTTTCCTAGAATTAAAGGCTTATCCTGGATATTTTCTCCCCTGCCAGGTTCCTCAAAGAAAATTCTGAAGATGGTGTTATACATAGCAGTTCCTATAGGGGCTGTCTTGGTCTTTTTAGTCATTCTTTGTGTTGTCTGCTTCTGTAGGTGAGTAAAAAAATAATGACTATGTATTGTAATGCTTTTATGATCATTTGCAAGTTTTGTTTTTAAACAAAGTTTGAGTCTCAGTTACTGCCAGTAGTTAGTTTTTCCAAAAAGTGGCATGTGCATGAAAACAAATATAATTTTAACCCGTGAGTGACCAAGACAGAATTTCTCCTTACAATATGAATACAATATCAGGAAGATAAGTGATGAAAATAAAGAAAAATATCAATGAGGGGATTATTAGTTGATACAATACCAAATTTTTCCAACTAACATCAGAAGAATTTGTGCGACAGAAAGTAAGGAGATCTTGGCAGTGAAAGGTTTAAAGGAGAATTTGGTAGGCAAGATTCCTTTTTTTCGGTGGAGAGTGAGGTAGAAAAGAGGGTCTTCACCAAAACTGTACTATCATTGGAAGAATGGAACAATTTGCTCACTGACCAGACGTAGTCTTATAGCCAAAAATGCTGATTACTTACTTGCATTAACGTGCTTTTCAATAGAGTGTTGAAAAACTAGAAGTTAAATTATCACAAAGGGCGCTCAGAAGAGAGCAAAATACATTTAAGAGCTAATGGGAAATCAGATTATCAGATTAAAAACCAACCAAACTGTCTGGGGCCTGGAAGAACCAAGTCGTTCTTGGTTTTTGTTTTTTTATATCTGGTTAGTCGAGAGGCTGGCGTGAGTTTTTTGGACTAATCACAGAGGGATGTAAAGCAAAACCAAGGCAATCTGGGATTACATTTGCCAATAAATTGAAATGCGCTCTATCTTGAGGTTGGCATTGGTCAAATTACAGGGAAGGTTTTTTCTTCACCTTTGGTACTGCACCCTGCTTTTTGGTCAGTTTTATTTTTCACCAGTTGTGTACATATTGAATTGTACTGTAGACATTTTAAGCTCAGCACTTCTAAATTAATTTTTGTTCACAGGGGTAAAGGTAAAAAAGGTTACTTAAAACCAGTTGAGATGAGAGATGGGCAAGGTACAGTGCAAAAAAAATTATTTCCTTGTTTATCTCCCTCTTATACCTTCATTAAAAGTCACATTAATTAGATTCACTACCACAAGAAACCCAAAAGAGACCACTGTTTAAGCGATTGCACTTATCTTTTGCATGTCAAAATCACAGAACACCAACAACCAGACTATTGAGCTAGGGACTCATCTTTAACAAAAAGTTTAGTTTCTGGATTCAGGAGGGATAAAAACTAGAGCAGTTGTGCCTTGAAGTATCCTTGTCAACATAATCACATAGGAGGTCTCTTTTTCTACAAGTACTGGAGGTTTATGCTGTTCTGCCCTACAAGCAGCCCCTCGAGTCTTTTCGTACGTTAATTAGCCCTTCAGTCCGCACGTTTCTTCGCCCGCGAGAAAGTGCGAGACTTAAGCAACACTAGCCGGCTAAAGGTAGATATCCAAGTAGTCCACCCCTGATCGCTTTCCGAATCGACTCTAATCTGTCCGCGGGCAGAGAGACCTTCGTCTTGCAGCTCTTATAATGACGGGCTGCTCGCAAGGGTACTCCTTTGTTCATGTACTAAACCCTCCACCACAATACAACCAGAGAATATCAAAGGTTCATATTACCTTGATGCAACAAAATCTCACATCTTCATACCTGTAAAGATTAACCTCACACAGGCAATGACAAGATGTCTTTTGGCCCAAAAGGTTGTATCTGAATCTGGTTTTATTTTGCAGTGATCTTACCAACAAGAGGCCAGAGACTTTATATCGATCCAAGTAATTACGAAGACCCCGAGGAGGCTTTGAGAACGTTTGCCAAGGAACTGGATAAGAAATGGATCACTTTGGACCATATTATTGGTGGAGGTAGAGTTTCACAGTGGTACTCATTGATGGAGTGCTTTTCAATTGAGCGTCATGAAACCAAAACCAAAATGATAAAAACGACCAATTAGAAGAAAGGAAAATACCTTCGAGGGCTAGTGAGAACTCCGAATGAAAACAACCAAACTGCCTAAAGCGCGGGAAAACCCGGGCGACAAATGATTTTAGTTTTGCTTCCGATTTGTTGAGAATGGCGCGAGTTTTCTGGACCAATCACAGAGCAAAGTAAAGCAAAAACCAAAGCAGTCCAGGGCCCAGTTGTTCGAAGGCCGATTTGGGCTAACCCAGTGTTAAATTTTAATCCACTTTTCTATATTTCTCTGTTCAAAAGCCGTTTTGGGATAATTTTCCCTTTTGTTTTTAGAGCATTCAATCACCAAATTATAGACAAAAAGAATTAAACTGAGTTTTCTTTTCAAGCTTTCCAATCTGAATGAAATCAAATTTCACACTAACCCTGGGTTATCTTAACCTAGCTTTGAACATCCCGACCCTGGATTACACTCAGTGGAAAATTGCTCTATCATACAACTTATATACGTGAACGATTTGAAATATAGTGCTTTTTTAATGCAGTCGATAAGAGGGAGCTTAACTTTTTGGTACTTTATAACCATTGTGTGTATGGCTTTGGTTTGGGCAAAAAAGGAAACTGAAGAATGTAAATTACCGTATTGGTAGAGAGTTCGATTTTAAGAAAGATAACATAAAAAGGAGCTTGTGTGCGCGTGAAATCACTTGGCTGTTAATATCGTTAAATTTGACTGCTTAGGCGAAATAGCGGATGGCCCTTTTGTAGTTTAATTTGATTAAATTTCGTGTCTTGCTTTGGTTCTTCCTCCATTGCAAGTCTCTTCAGAGCGTTGTGTCACAGCCTTTATTTTAATCGACGATGTTTTGCAGTATCGGTTAATGATTGGATTTATTTTCAGGTGAATTTGGCGATGTGTACAAAGGAACTTTATCGAGACCAGGAGAAGAAACTATCTTCGTCGCTGTCAAGACTTTAAAGGTAAGTTCGCTGTGGCTTGATTCCTGATTTAGTGAGAATGCCACGCGATAATTTATCTGTCTCGTAACTTTAGCGATCAAATCGATCAAAGTTTTTCATAATCGTTTGTCTCGCGATGTAGTCACTTCTGATGTCGAAAGAGACAGAACATTTTACTTTCACAAGTACGTTCACCACGATGACCTACCGTAAACTTCTTGAAAATATTAAGTTCGGTGAATGGTTTGAATCCTGGAGTAACATTTGATTTACATCGACATTAGCTACGAATTTTCCTTTGCTATTTAATTCATGTTGTTTCCTTCCTTACACAGACCGGTGCTCTTCGTAAAAACCGCCAAGACTTTATCAGTGAAGCTTCCATAATGGGCCAGTTTTGTGACCCGAATGTCATTTTTCTCGAGGGTGTTGTTACTAAAAGTAAGTAACCTGTGCATCCACACAACCAGTATATGCATGTAGTCGAAGGGAACTTTTGACATGAAATCTCATTGACACAAATACACTTACATTGTTTTCTTTCTCAACAGCCTCACCCATGATGATCGTGATCGAGTTTATGTCCAATGGTTCTCTTGACAATTACCTGAAGGTTAGTGTTGCAACTTTTTCCATCACTGAGGAATACTTTGAACGCTGATTGGTAAGTGTTACACGTACTCATATTAACACTGATCTCAAACTATTTCTATATAGAAAATGGATGGCAAACTTACAGTGCTGCAATTGCTGGGAATGGCGCGAGGTGTCGCATCAGGAATGAAATATCTCTCCGAAATGAACTTTATTCATCGGGTAGGGAATTTTATACAGCGTTTTTCTTTTATTCCCCCATTCGGATGCGTTCTTTTGTGCCTAGGTTCCCCTTCGTCCGATCGTCCGTCCGTCTTTTTATCCATTCGTCCCTTCATTTCCCCCCCC